CAGTGAAAATTTCAGTGAAGAGCTCCTCGATTGTCATGTTCTCCTGATACTTTTACAAAAATTTCGAATTTTTCACTTTCAGTGAAAATTTCAGTGAAGAGCTCCTCGATTGTCATGTTCTCCTAATACTTTTACAAAAATTTCGAATTTTTCACTTTCAGTGAAAATTTCAGTGAATAGCTCTTCGATTGTCATGTTCTCCTGATACTTTTTCAAAAATTTAGAATTTTTCAATTTCTATACTTATACTTTTGCAGAGGGATATTTCGATTGATTATTATTTAAAAAAAAAAAATGAATGACGGCGGGATCGAACCCGGGCCGTCGGCGTGCTAGCCGAGCACGTTACCGCTAGGATAACGCATTTTTTACAATAATAAAATTTCATTAGGAGTATATATATTGAAAAAGTTTCGTTTACAAAAATGTCAAATTTTTCAATTTCACTGGATATCTCCTGGATTTTAAAATATTCAGTTTTTAAACGATATTTCCATTGATTAGCCATTAACAAAAAATAAAAATTGGAATTATTTTGAAAACAAAAAAATGAATGATGCTGGTATCGAACCCATGGGGTCCGCGTGCCAGTCTAGCGCGTTGCCGATTAGGCAACTCGCTCATTATGAAAATATGATTTCATTAGTGGTATATCTTCAATATATTGAATATACTTTTTCATTGGAAATTCCACAAGATGTGGCTTCCCCCTTCCGCTCGTTCTAGAATCGGCTAAATTTCAGTTAAACAAATAAAAAACAAAAAGCATTCATACCGCAGAAAACAAAATTAACCCCGTCAACTTGAGACACCCCACCATTGCAATAAAAACTTGATTAATAAAAAAAAAACACCCCATCATTGCGTGTGGCGCCCTCCCTCTCTTGGGGTGCAGTACTACGATGCTGCTGGGGTTACTCAAACCCCCATAACTGAGTCTCTACTTTAGTCAATCCTCTTTGGGTAAAAGTGTCGCAGTGGTTTTGTGAATAGCAAAAGTCCACATTTTTCATTATTTATCGTTATTAAACCTAATCCACAGCCAAAATGGTAAGTTAAACAATCCTACGTGCGTTATTGTCACAGATTTCTTCATGAAAACGTATGAATTTCGAAGTAATTGAGACGACATGTGACAGTATAACCTAACAGTAACATTAACCCATTCCAGAATGGTTATTTATTAAATACTGTATTCAATATAGTTCATCAATAGGAAATAAATAACTCTTTTTTACAGAAACCCCTGATGTTGCACGGGCACGAGCGTGCCATAACAAAAATCAAATACAACAGAGAGGGTGACCTGATCTTTTCGGCGAGTAAAGATAAAAATCCAAATGTCTGGTGGTCCCTGAATGGCGAGCGTCTAGGTACATTTAATGGCCACAACGGTTCAATCTGGTGTATTGACGTCAATTGGGACACCTCGCGTTTCATGTCTGGCTCCGGGGACAACACCCTGAGAATTTGGGACTGTCAGACCGGTAAAAATTCCACCCACATTCCCCCAAAATAATTACACCTTTAAAATAATTAATTAATCACTCATTAACACCCGATAGGCAAAGAAATTGGTCAGCTGCCGACCAACAGTTCAGTGAGAACCTGTAACTTCAGTTATTCTGCAAACACAGCTGTCTACTCCACTGATAAGGCCCTTGGGCATCAATGCGAAATGTTCATCATCGACACCAGGACAGTCGATCCCATCCTCTCCCAGGAAGACGCCATCCGAAGGATCCCAATTAATGGACCACGTATCTCAGCCATTCTCTGGGGTGCTCTCGATGAAACTATCATTACTGGACACGAGGATGGCGAAATCAACATCTGGGACGTTAGGGTGAGCCATTACAAATCCAAATACCCGACTCATTTAATTTAATCAATGGAAAAATTATTTGTTCATCAATTAAAAAAAAATAAGACAATATATTGATGAAATTTGCCGATTAAGATATTTAAATTAGAACTAATCACATAAATTCACGGAATTCATGACGAAATAATTTCAGTGAGACTAATTACCTATTATTTTCTTTTAATTACACTCAAGTAATATAAAAACTGCAACAATTTGTTACAAATCCACCGGTGCTGTCGAATAATTAATAAGTTTGATGGATTAAATCCAATTTTTTGTAGACTGGGAAGATATTGACGAGCGCCAAAGGTCACAGATCACAAATAAATGACATGCAGTTCAATAAAGATGGAACAATGTTCGTAACCGCCTCGAAAGATCACACAGCTAAGCTGTTCGACAGTGAGCAGCTTGTTCACCTTAAAACGTATAAAACCGAGCGCCCAGTTAACTCGGCTACGATATCTCCTATTTTTGATCACGTGGTACTTGGAGGAGGTCAAGATGCCATGGACGTCACCACGACGTCAGCTCGTCAGGGGAAATTCGACGCTCGTTTCTTCCATATGGTTTTCGAAGAGGAATTTGCTCGGCTTAAGGGCCATTTTGGACCAATCAATTCCCTCGCGTTTCATCCCAATGGGAAAAGTTTCTCAAGTGGCGGTGAAGACGGTTATGTGCGTATCAATACGTTCGATCAATCTTATTTCGATTTTCATTTTGAATATTGAAATGTTGATCCTGTGTCGAATTCACGAGTGAATGGCTAAATCGATCTTTTCTTTCCAATAATGATCTATTCATTTATTCATCTTGAAACGATTGGATTCACCAAAAAATATCTTTTCGTTGGAAAGAATTCAACTGTCCAACACAAATCGCAACATTTTTGTCTAAAATCCACTGGTTATCGAGATAATTTGGCAGTGACTTTTGGATAGTCTCCATTCATTGATGGATTTTATATCCTCCCACGAATTCTCAAAACGGAAAAAAATTGTGAACCGCAATAATTCTGTAATCTACATGCGATCATTTGTATTAATAAAATTATGTTAAATACAATGTTGGTACACTTTATTTATGCAATCACGTTATCACCATTTTATAATGTACAAATAGAATGACAAAAAACAATTTTACTTCATTCATTGCGATTTGTCAATTTTTACCCCATGATTCTGTAATATGCGGTTTGTACGAACGCTAATTATTCGACAGCACTACCAACAATGTTTTCTGTTTCGTTTCCATCCGTAAATATATAATCTGACCGGAGCCAGAAATCAAATAATACCGCCATTCGGTGCAACGAGAATGCACCAATTTTGGTTTTCATTAATAATCATTTTTGCATGAATACAGGTTTCTCCTTTATTTTATTCTTTGTCTAAAATTAATTATTCACCTATCAGTTAATGTACAAAAATGATCATACAGGCATAAAGAAATTATCCGTTTAAATTAAATTCGTTACGCTCATTTTTTCCAACGTTTTTTTCATTTTTGCTGATTTTCCTCGGAACAACTATCTACATTGAGATTATATGGTAAACCTATTCCTTTTGAGTTTTTACATGTAAATTAAAAGTTTACCTGCTCCCTCGATATTCCCTCTAGTTTCCCTTCCTGTTATATATTCTGTACTTAATATTTTTTGTTTACTTTTTGGCAAAAAGAAAAAAAAAATGCTTGAACGCGCGTACGTGCCATCCTATCATACTTTATTGATATATTTTCGTTTATATTATATCCTATGTTAATGTACAATTTTCCATCCTTTTGTTTTTATTAAGAGCGCAAAAATAAAACGGGATATCTGTTGGTATTGTTATTTTTCCATTTTTTTGTTCATTTTTAAAAGTTTTTTTTTATTACAAGGTGTCAGGACTGATAATTAGTCCAACTTATAGTAAATAGATACAATTTACAGCTTTTCCATTATCTCGTTTATCCGATTACCCCCTTTACGACGCTTACATCGTTTTAAATGAAATTCATACACACAATTCTACAATGCTTTTGTTTTACTCTACTCTTTTTTTTTTATCGTCTATTTATACCATGAAGAATGATGATAAAGCGTGAAAGGAAGAGAAGTGATACCCCAATGATGCGTTAGAAAAATATTCGTCAGGAGTTTCGATAGAATTTATTTTAATGAAGGGACAACAATATCTTTTTTTCAAATTCCATTGCTCTAATCAAATGCACCCAGAACCGAGTTAAAAATCATTTCAAATCATTCATAAATTTTCGTTTGAATAAAAAAAATTAATAGCGTGCTGCTAGAGCCCTGTGTGTGTAAAAAAATGAATAAATCTGAATATATTATCGAACCGGCGTTTCCAACGCCGAAAGAAGAATTTAAGGACAGAAACAATGATGAAGTCGCACATTTAAACCTCCTTGGATACTTTATAAAATAGATATATAAACACTACTTCCCAATCGTTTATTTCTCATCTTTCATTAAATCGCACGAGTAATTTCACACAGTGAGAAATTCCAAACCCAAACACACAACTTAATGTCTTTTTCAACATCTTTACCATGAAATTTATACGACTAATCGGTGTAGGCGATGTTTCTCATTACTTCATACATTTAATAAGTGTTTCATTACTTTTTTTTTCACGTCGGGAATACGAGTCTTCAGGATCAACCAAAGGAGTCATACTGAAGGCCACCCATTTTTCATTAATATTCATTATTTTTTACAGTCTATTATTTTTTTCTCATTAATGTAAGTCCGATAACAACAATAAAAATTCTTAAATAAATATATCGGTATAATCATCGATGGAATATTATTACGCAGTCAACTAGTGTGTTATTTATTTATTTTTCATCGAGTTGTGTATCTGTTCAATTTGTGTTTCGTCAAGTATCGTTTTAGTTTTGTTAATAATCTATGGTTCTAGGAGAATTGAAGTTTCGGTGGAGTGTACGATGGACATTAAATAATGCATACACTCGTTGTTACTCGTGTTCTCGTGGTAGAGTAGACAATTTGACGAATCAGTTGATCGGCCAAACTACATTACCCTCACGATATTTCATCGGTTGATTGTGTACCCGATTAGGTATATTCACGAAGATTCATTGAGAATAGATACACGTATCACTCGTCGGACGTTTGCTATTTGCTTCTGCCTTGTGTGTTGCCCGATCTAGTTGTTGGTTTTGCTGGCTGGGGGATAATCGTTATTTCGTCGTTTATTTTCAGTGGTTTCAGTAGCGAATCGTTTGATCTCGATGAGGGCGATGATGGGGTACTCTTTTTGTCCATTACACGTTTAGCCACTACACTGTGGGCTGAGTATACGTGATTCTCGAATTGCTTGTACATTCCGAATGTGGCAGTGCATACTGTACATTTGTAGGAGAGATGGGCGGGCTTTAGCGTCATTCCGTGATCGCGCGCCACGTGGTTCAGTAATTTCCACTGATATACCTGCAATTTATTCATTTTTCACATTTATTTTTACCCACTATTTTTACAGATATAGATATTAATTTAGATGGTCGATCGGGTGATTCTTGTCATTATTTTGTGAATATCTTTGCAGGAAATGGGGTTGGAACGAAATAAATCAGGGAATTCATAAAAAAAAATAACTTACCCTGCCACATGCTGGACAACGGCCAGCATCCTTCCCTTTGTTCGCAGCCTCCTGCATACTGGACGTGACAAGTCCATGAGATCCCAATAAATGTCTCTCCAATCCCTTCATCCAGACAGAAAATTACAATAACAACTCCACAATTTTTCCACCAATTGAAAAAAAAATGTACATACTTGATCCGTGAAGAATCGGAACTGACACTTCTGGCAGTTCAGAGGGGGTCTGTTATAGATCATCTTTGGATGTATCTTGACTTTGTGGATCCACTGCATGTGATTGCGGAGTTGCTCCAAGTCCTATCGACAAAGAGAAATAGTAAATGAGAATAATCATTGAATAGAATTAATACCGGGATAATATAAGGGATTTAAGATGCACGTTTATATCTCTCACCTTAATATATCCGTCACATATTTCACATATGACAAAGGTATTTTTACCCCCGGGCTTCGAGGACGAACCTGACCCAGAGATTGGCGCTTGAGTCGTGGTACGTGGTAATGGGGTTATCGATATACTTGGTTGACTCAACAACTTCGCCGCTGGGTTCTTCGACGCCGTTATTGATGTATTCTGAAAGTCCCAAATATCCACTATTAACCATCGTCCTAAAAATATCACGATAACAATGAACGATGCATGAAGATGTTGAAATAATAGAATAGTCCAAGTCAAATGAACAAATTGTCTTCAAATATGGACGTCATATACGTAGCAATTCCGTCTGAAATTTAACGAAATATGAAATCATGAATATCTTTTGCTATTTTTCCCGAGGGGTCCTCATCACTGAGACGACTCAATAATTAATTTACTTCAGCGGTTTTCTTGAGTGGAGAGACAACACCTATGAGAGAAATATTTGCATGCTTTACGTGTAAGCTCTCACGTCCCCAAGGATAATAAAGATCGAGGAGAACGAGATGAAAGAAGATGATAATGAGAATTAGTAACGGCCAACCTGGTGATCAATAAATTTGTTCAGCGTTTATTTAATCCTGAAATAATTGGAGTCATAAATGTCTTATGAGTCCTTATGCTAAAAAAATCAATAGATTTACATAATATCGAATTGTGTCATGTCGGTCATTTAACCCAATTGAGAACTGGTGAGGAAATTATTATTAAATTATTATTAAATTCAACTAGTAAATCACGAATTATCTCTGTACAGGTAGTCCATGCCGAACATCGATTAATGATTAAAAATTAAATGACGAAAATCGTAAATTTCCTCAGGCCATCTCCCGGACAATGATTTATCTGTAACGAGGACAATCTAGATTGAGACTCGATTAGGTTGGATACAAGGGTGATGGGTGTGGGTTGACCGGAACTACCGCAGCTACTGCTACTCACCCCGGGTACTGCTGACGTGACAGTCCCAGAGCCACCCACCACCTGTCCACCACCCACATATGCCGTTATCAAAACTCTATCATTATTTTTAAATACTCGTGGTGTCCGAGTATCCCAATTATCGAGTAATAGAAGAATCGGTTCTTGTAATAGCGAGCAAGGGGCAAGATTTTTTGCAGATGAAATGATATTAACATTACCTGGAATATTTGGTTACTGCCAAATTGATAGGATGTTGGCACTAGGAGTCCTGACGACGTGGGGCGATACATCATTCCGCCAACACTATCTACACATAGATAAGAAAACGGTTGATTAATTGAAAAATTAAGTAATGAACGATATGAATTATCATTTTGGAGTAATGAAAATATAATGACTTTTGTATGTCCCTATCATATCGATAGATTGGAATAAAAAAATATTCCTGAGAAAGCAATGCAAGGAAAAAGCAGTTAGTATTATTTAATTAATTTTGTTAATAAAAGAATGGAAAAGAAAAAGAAATGTTACCTTGCCGAACAGATGTGCCACCAGGTCTGAGGGACTTTAGATCGGTGTACCTAGGCTGCATAGGCGGTCTCCCTCGTCCGCGTCCAGCCATTGGGGCTGGCAGCAATTTGGGTAAAAGAGGCTGAGGCCCCTTGGCCCCCATAGCCATAGCAATGGCATTAGTATTGAGAGGTCCAACAGGCCGTGGACGATTGAGCCTGGGTATTTTAGCCGGTGGCTCCCAGTCTCCAGAAGGCTCGAGATTTCTTTCAGGCCTAAATTTCTTGGCGCAAGTAAGAATATGCCTCGTTAACTTGCCCTTCTGATTGTCCTCAAACGGACAATTGGGACACTGATGAAAAGCAGGACCCCTCTCAAGCCTCCCACGCGTATTATGCTCAGCCTCCATATGAAAAAGTATATCATGAGGGCTGCGCACCTCCAATGGACAAAAATTACACTTGTAAACGTAATTGCGCATATGCGGTGTCTCCAGATGATGCTGCATAACGAGTGAGGATTCCGTTTTAAAGCTACAAAATTCACACTTCTTCATTTCTAAGTGGAATGGTTCATTATTCTCTTTACTAAACTCTAAATTTTTAATCAATGAATTAATGGCTATTTGTGTCTCAGCTGATGCCTGTCCTCCCTTTCTCTGCTTATGCTTCTGCTGTCGTAATAAATCAGTTTGTACGAATTCCTGAACAAGATTGACCCCAATCTGCATGAAAAATTTCCCTAACGGTAGATCAAAGTACGTTTGTACTTTATTTCTATCCTCAGCTTTGTCCCTGTCCTCCGGAAATTTCGGAGTTATCTCAAAATCAGGATCCCCCTCCTTCTTTCCCAACATATCATCATCATTATCGCTGTCATTCTGCTCAGACGAATCATCCTTATCCTTATCCTTATTAAGTTTCTCTCTCTCCTCTCTCTCACGGTCCTCCTGATCCCTCTGTTTGATGCACTTCTCTAATTTCGTGACAAATTCTTTGAGAGGTTTTAGCGGTGGTTTCTCATAGACGTAGGGAACAATAAATGATGGTGCCTCAACGACAAACATATCGTCAGTGAGAGTTGGCAGGATTTGTGGTGCTGGTGGTGGTGGGGTTGGCACTGCTGTTATACTACTTCCCAATTTGGGACTCAATTGTGGTGTTGACTTGGAGGTCATGGGTACCGGTGTTATTGTTGTTCTCATATTAGGATACATGGTTGTGGTGCCAGTGAGATTGACAGGCATAACTGAGAAAGCACTCGAACTCGACACTGAATGTGATTTGCTACTGCTAACTGGCACACCCCCACGTCCAGAAAGAATAGAATTAGTATCGATAATCACAAGGGTCGGCTCCTTTTTGCCACCCTTCATGCACTTGCTACCAGCAGCAATCTCAACTAGACGTTTAGTGTCATTAACGACAATCGTCGTTTTGCTGGTTTTCAATGGTGACTTGAGTTTGGTATTCTCCTTGTCCTTGCCATCAACAACACAAGCAAGAGGATCCTCGGGTTTGATCTCCTCAATGTCTGAGCCATCGTCCTCAGGATCTTCAGGCTCCTTCTCAATGTAACTAGTTCGTTTGATATTTCTGGAACTTCTCCTTGGTGTTATACTACTCAAATCAATCTTCGATCTCTGTTTCTTTTTAGGAGCATTGGGAGAACGCTCACCACTCGCATTGTGCCCATTGCTCTTGCTCTCAGTGATCTCCTCGATATCAGGACTACCGATACTCCCAACACTGCCATTCTCCTCCACAATCTTCAAATCCGAATTATCAACACTCGATATTGTCTCAACACTCTCATTAAGTGGATCGTCCTCGTCAATCTTTGACTCATCGATAATCTCGCTGACATCGTCGAGCTCATGAAGATTAATAGTCTTAACGTTACTATTCCCCGTTCCCTCATCAAGACACTCAATGTCCGATGTATTGCTCTGACGATCAACATCCATTGATTCATCACAAGAATTAATCTTAGTTTTGTCAGTGTCTTTCACTTCACTAATATTATTCCCACCACTCACATCCTCTGTACTTTGTACATCATTTTCGTGGGTCTCAGTGACCTCCACCAAGCTGCCATTGTCTGGTGCATCAATCTCTTCGTCATCCTCGTGGTTAGTGCCACCATCGAGGAGCTCATCGGGCTCTAGGGACCGATGAGACTGCTGGGATTCCTGGGGCTCGTCAATCTCCATTCCCTCAGTTGTCTTATCCTCATGATCATCCTCAAACTGCTCCATTTCAGCAGTGCAGTCACCGTTGACGCCATTCGATATGACTGCATCTGTAAATCATTGAAAAACGGTACATGTTATCACGAAGGACCCTGACAAATCACCACTGGTATAAAAGTAACAGAGATATGAATAAATAATCCTTTCAATCACCTTTCACATTATCAGGATTATCGTGAGATGGCTCCTCGACCAGTGGATCTTCCAACGTGCCTTCCATGGGTCCACTGCTGCTGTTCGATTTACCCTAGACACGTAAAATCACAGTTACAACTTCACTAAATTCACTGACCGACTACATCCATCAAACCCCCCAACATCATCTCCATGTTCAGTTGTTTACGTGTGTACTGACACTGTCGACACATGCCTGATGACTACTCAATGTATACTAGGTCTCATTAAACTGAATAATTACAATTCGATATTACCCTTCGGACAACTTCTCCACGGACGGAAATAATAGGCAGAATTTTTCAAAATGGCGCTGCGAATTCCACACACATACAATTACACATGGACACGAAGCTGAGTTGAGCACTTCGGGATCTCCCTCAACGTCCCATAACCAATAAAAACCGTAACCCCGATTTTTCGATACGGGGTTGATGAAAAACTCAACACCAGTCTCTATGATATTTATCCTCAACGGGTATGGCGATGGATTGCTGGCTGATTGGGGATACTGGGGGATGTTGATAGTGGGTGAAAATAATCCAGGAAGTCGAGGAGACGCCAAAGAGGTGCCTCCTGCGTGTGCACGCTTCTACGACACGGACGACGGGGGGAGATCCAACAGCAGTCTCTCGGGTCGCGCGCCAAAGATAAAGACAGACCTATTCGTCCCACAGCTCCAACCAGCTCCCACAGTCTCTCCTCTCCTCTCTCTCTCCCTGGCTTGCGCTTAGGAGGTTTTGTGTGGCGTCGCTCGGTCAGTCAGTCAGTCACCTGCACCCGATGTACTCCAGCTAATGAGGAGTTAATGACTTTCAGGGGCTTTTTCCCCTCCACATCTCTTCACATATTACTATTCCTCGTGTTTTCCTCTCCTTTCCCTTCACGAGAATTTTTCACATTTTCCATTCGTCCCATCCACCAAAGGAGAGATTGCCACGATAAAATGTCCCGACAACGAGGGATTTTCAGTTCAAGGCTTTCCCGAGAACAGTTTTACTCCTTGGATGATTATTTGGATGACTCCAAACCGGGATATCTATGAACTTCTTTAGAGGCCTTTCACCTTAGAACTTTCTTGTGCAGCGGTTTAGGACGGGGGAGGGTTGAGATCGTCCTCAATTTCTGGGATAGTCTCGACGATCTTTATCATTTATATTATTAACTCCCGATAATTTGAGGAATTGAGAAATTGTTTTTCTTATTAAACTGTCAGACGAGTCTGAATGACAAAAATTTGAATTTTCATTCGCGCGGGAATTCTCAGGAATAATAATTTGCGCGGGCTTTCGATGTATCTCTCCGAGAGGACATGACGTACGATGACGTCTAATTATTCTCGATAATCTCAAATTCTCATTTTCTGCAAAATAGTGCACATTAGATTACGGTGAAAATTAACCACGAGATGGCGATAGTTTCGGTTAAAAAAGAAGTATGTGCACCAGGGCCGTGTTGAAAAGTAGCGGAGGTGGGGCCCCGGGGTTTGATCCCGCGGGGGATGGTAACGGCAGACGAAAAAGTGGGGGGAGAGAAATCGGAGAGCGTCAGAGGCAAGGGGGCGGGCGGGGGAGAGAGAGAGGATGTCGTCATTTATGTACAATGCCCTGGCAGCGTCAGCAACTGAATTATTTCACCACTGCTCTCCAATAAGCCACGGAAAAACTCCTCAACTCATTGATTAATTTTTCCCCTTAATTACTCCGCTAATGAGTCTATGACAATTTTACAAATGACCTTTAATCCCCAAACTGTGGATGAAGATTCTATAAATATATAAATACTTTATAAGATCCACCCTAGTCATTAAAAATTCGGCTCCGATTTGTTGAATTTTTGAGCACAAGATCGAGAATGGAAAAACCTTGAGGGAGATCACTTAAGGATTCATCCTTAATATTGAATTGATGGCAATAAAATCACAAGATAATTTATTTGGATTGGCTTTGGGGGATAAATAATAGGGGTGAGAGGGAACTACTTATGGTGGAAAAAAAATGGAGAAGTTGGTATGAATCATTTAGTAATGGGATGTACAGGGGGATGTTTAATAAATGCAGCTCAAGGGAGATGAATACGACATCGTACGGCCCTGATTATATTGTGTTATTCGATGCCGAGCAATTGCACAAATGACATATTCAATAAGCCATTCTCTTCCATGGTAATAATTATCACTATTTTCCCTCCCCAATAATTCCCTCACTTTATCGTTTTGAGTTCTGGTAGTGGGAATGGACTCGATTGTAGCAATGGTCCCTCGTAAACGCACGTGGTTATTCGGCGCTTTTAAATAGACGATGTAAATAAATGCACATAAATCCCGCCATTTGGATAATGAGAGAAAATAATATAGATCTAATTTTAGGTGGTAAATAGAGATATTTTAATTGTCTTACAGTCCTCGAACAGCTGCTGTGGGTCGGCCTCTGGGTGGACCTACAGACGGATTTATCACCCCGAAGGAGGCGCAACGATAACTCCCAACGTCTACTGGGGACAACTCACGCTTCGAGGAATCGACTCCTATGTCGCGGGTTTATTCAAAATAAAGGGCTTTTCTACGGTTGTACACTGGTTCAATCACTTATTTAATGCACAACATCTGTTGATTATTGTTTGTAGGTGGATTAATTGGTGATGATCGAGGGTCATGGGGGGTTCAATTGTGTTTATTTGGCGCTCGACGTCACTGATACTCTCCTTACCTCTGTCCCGTCGAAAACTGCCAAGATGGCCGATTTACCCACTGTAATCACGTGACCGCGAAAATTTTATGACGTATCCAGGGAGAGTGGTGATGAAGGGGGACCCCTAGAGGTGTCTGGAAGGACTATTATCATAGTTTTATGATTTTTTTCTTTTTATTCGTTTCATGGGTATTATTGATTTCTTCGCGACATTTAGGGGATGATTTTTAACATTTCAATTTGAATTCTAGGAGTTTTCCCAGAAGTTTTTCCAGAAGGGATGGGAAATTGGGGTTTAACTAATAATTTGAAGTTTTCAGAGGAAAATAAAGAGTGGCTTTTTTCCGTACGGATTTATTCCATTTTTTTTTACGTAGGAAGAGATTTTCTTTTTTGAGGAAATTATATGTACAAGTTTATGTGTAAATTATCTTGTGGGATTGTTTTTTTTTCTCATTCGTCTTCATCCTCGTTGAAAGACAGGACGGATTTACTCTGTTTTGATTTTTTTCTCTTTTTCATTTTGGAATCGATGGTCGAGTCTTGATCCGCGGCCTGGGATTTTGATTTTCTTTTGGACTCGAAGACTATTCGCTTCGTGAGGTCGGCTGGTGCATTTTCTTCCTCTGGAATCAATCGATTGTTTGATACATTTGCGTTATTATGAAGATATCTGGATTAATTTGATTTCCTGTTTTCAATTAGTACCTGCTTTTTTTGTTTTCTCGAAGTCGTCAGCTTCTTCAGCGGTTAAATCACCTTGTTTCAACACGACGACTGTTGGTTTTTCTTCGCAAAGATGGTCATCATCATCATCATCAATGTTTGGAAGTTCTTGTCTCTAAACAATTCAATTAATTCAATTATCGGTGCTCAGAGGAAAACAAAACCAATTTATTCCTCAATTCTCTTATGAAGAAGTAAACACAAGGATTAAGGAATTATTTTTTTAATAAATATTTTAAAATCAAAGCAAGATCTTAGTTTTTTTGTAAATATCTCTTTCATAGCTCGCATCTCATTTTCTGTAAAAAACAACATATACAAAAATTTCGAGATATTACCCACTACTATTCCTCAAAAAATTACACTTATCACTAATTTATCACTTCCTTCCGAAATAAATCGTTAAAAAATTCTGAAAATGAACTGAAGAAATTCCCCAGTTCAAGAATAACTCCCTAACATCAAGTCCCCATTTGTCATCATGAACTTCAGAAGAAATAAATTAAAGAAATAAACATCCTGTAATAATTATTCAATAATTATTAAAAAAAATACCTTGGTATCTAGATCAGGCCCTTCCTTGTAGCCCGCAGCAGCTTTAAGATCTCGAAGAAATTTGGGGTCTTCCGGTTTTATGTAGGATATATTATGCTTTTTCCTGGACATCGTTTATCTCCGAATTTCCTTTTCAAAACAAAAAATGACAAGTTATTGTTGACAGCAGAACACCAAACACAACAGGAGTTCATGTTTTCCTGTGGCTGTGACCGAGTGAATCCTCTAGACGTACATCTCAAGGAAAACGAATTTACATCACTTATATTGTGGAATAAAAATGAAACTCACTAGCATTATCCTGAGAATGCACCATCAGCTGATGGTAAGGGGATTCCCTTCCACATGATGAAGCCATGGACGCTGTTTTAGTGTTGGTGCTGTCAAACTAATCGAAGTCATCCGAAGTGCTTCAATTAGTCATATCGTCAGATTAGTTATCACCCAGCTGTCAACATGTTTGCTCACTTCCTCGTATTATTTTCATAAGTTAAAAGTGGTGCACCTCGTGATGACCAGCACTAAGTCGCTGAGTTCAGCGGCTGAGGATTATTTCCACAATTTGAATCCCCTGGCTCGCAGGATCGCCGATGACATTGAGGCGACGAAGGAGGCGTATGAGGGTCTCTGGAATACCCTGAGTCTGAAGGAGAAAAATCAGGCGATTGATGAGACCATTATCCAGCCGGAAATCGCACTGCAGTACGCTGTGGGAGTTGGGGACCTGGGGAAGGATGTGCCAGAGTGGTATCCCAGACTCAGGATTCAGACGGGGTTGAGACATGTTATCGATGAAACTGGCTCGGTGAGTCTTTCCTACAATTTTTTATTGCTGTGTTGTTTTTTCAGTTGTTTTCACGTACAGTCCTCGATTTTTTAATTGATTCCATCTAAATTCATCGGTATAATATTAATTTTGAGGCTGTTATATTATTATTAATCTGGGATTGCAGACACTTCGATGGAAAGACGAGCACTCAGGACCCTTCAGTTTCATGACTCGCTCCCAAATGGATCTCTCTCTCTTCGCAGCCCCGGACAATCGTCGTCTGAAATCTTCAGGAAACTACAGTGATGATTCCCCCCACTTCACAAGTCCCATTCAACTCGAAGAAAGTAGTTTCGAGAGTTCCCTGAATGAATACACAACATCGTCGAATCCTACAAGTTTCTACCAGTCAGAGAGCTACACTGACAGCGTCTTCAAAAACTCGGACTCCGGCAGGTCCGCAAGTCAATCGAACGACAATATTTTCACCAAGATGATCAATAAAACCTCATTCATGAAAATGGCTAGTAGTCCTGATGATGAAATGGAGAGCCTGGTGCCACAGCGAGGTGCTGCAAGAGCTGTTACCAAAAGTCTTGGTGGAAACAAAGTTCAGATGAATATCAATTTATCATCTGGATCTAGACCAAAGTCTGGGGATGTCACTGAGTCCACTGCCCTCTTGGAGACACCCAGCTCCTACAGTAGCTTCCAGTCTGCCCAGACTAATCACGACGATGGAATCCCAAAGACTGGTTTCGAATTCTTGGATAATTGGTAAAATTCATCAGGAACAATCAGAGGAGCAATTAAACAAGAGGAATCATTTGAATTTGATCTTAATTAATCACTTTTCTTCCAACTTATAATCATTACCCACAAATTGATCTTCAACTTGTATAATTGTCTTCTTTCTTCTTTCTTCTGATCTTTTAATTTGTTTTTGAAATGGAGAATCAGTGGGAGACGTTGGGTATTCTGTTGAATATTGAATCATCTTGTTTAATTTCTTCACTAATGAGCTCTCCATTTTAAATTAAATCATTTGAGACATTATTCATGACTCCAAAGATATAATAGACTGAGTAATATACGTTAGACATTGTATCCAACAGTAGCATCGACTGAAACAATACTCGATAGTCTATTTTTAAATTGCGACATTTATCCTCATATCTAATACAGAGTACAAAAGTATTAGATGAAACACCTTACTCAGACGGAATGAACCCCAGCCAGTTTTACGATTCAATTTTGATACCCGCATTTATACACAAACCATCTCAGTACTTAAAGTAAGCCATTTTGTACTCAATATTTTAATCAATAAAAATATCCAGGTATTAAAATAAAAGTCCGAAACAAATTTTATTGATAAATTTTTATTACAAATCATCGAAAATGACGCCTACATCATCATATAATAACACTCGTTCATTTTATACAAAAGCATTAACATTCACTCATTTTCTATTTAATTAATCATGATAAAAAAAATTATTTACAGTGTTCAGAAAAAAATGTACACACTCGAGAGACTCCCTTCAGTGTAACTTGATGGCAGTTGTATGAAAAGAAAAAAAAATCAGTCTCAGAATTGAATGGTCTCCCCAATCGATGGCTTATCGAAATATTCTATGTACAATAATTCTTGATTCACCCTAAAAACACGTCTTTCCAGATTAAGATGAATTGTCTAAATTCAGAACCTACCGTATCAACACCGAAATATAATAAAAAATTCAAATACGCAACAATCGATCCACTCGCAGAATTTCATGACCCCAAATTCGCGTGAATATTAATTTGCCTGTTTATTCTCTATTTAGACCTTTCCCCTCACAAAGAAAAATGGCACAGTATCAGTGCTTCTTGGGAAGACAAAAATTCCACATGATCCCTATACTCTGTACAAAAAATACTCAAGACATCCTGATACAAGATGTCTCCCCAATTCTTAATCACCTATTAAACTAGCTCTTCACTACACAATTCTCTCCATAAAACAGTTAATGGCAAGTGAGTAAGTCTAAACGTACTCTTCAGAAGGTTTAGGGATGTTGGCAGGGAGTCTCAAGCTGTTGGGCATTCTGCTGGCACTGTCAGGCAGTTCAGCGATGTCGATGAAGACTCCAACGAGGCTCTCAAAATTAGGACCCCAATTCAACAGATAGTCCCAACTGAGTGCAGTATTGGTGCTGGGTGATCCATTGTTGCTGGGTCTATACAGACTTCCCATATGAGTTGACAAATCATCATCAGAAGCGACCAAAGTACTGAGAGAACCCCTGAACGAGCTGTCAAACCCATCGTAATTATTCGGAAGTGGATTCTTGGTGGATTGAGGTGATTCGCTGGCCCTCTGTGGCTCCTCAACAGGTTTGCTGTATAAATTATCCGACCTCTTGTCCCCTACCAACGAATTATTGTCGTACTCGATCTCAGAGCAGGTAAAACTGTCATTACCACTCTCATCAGTGGTCGACGAGTTTCTTCTTTCCAATCTCTCAGTGGGTGGAGTATGTCTCCTGTGCAGATGCAGTGCACTGTGAGGAGGTGGTGGAGGTCCCCTGGCCTCACTCGACGAGCTCACAGCATCGAGAGTCGAGACAAGACTCGACGTTCTTGGCCTAGAGTTCAACCTCTCTATCTCCTCAGCAGTCAGCCCCATGGGCCCTGACCCCACGTTATTGCCGTTCTCATTCGTTGATTGAGGAGCCTTTCTGCTGGCAGTTGATCCTGACAATTGACTCATAATCGGTGAATTAAGGCTGCGTTCGCTGTTTGAATTCAATGCGTCTTTTCCCACTCCTCCAGATGACGATGTCGTCGCCAGAAGGGCACTCTGCAGAGGTTTACCAGAGATGTCATGAAGAGTTAAAATTCTAGGCTGTTGGGCTGACAATTCGCTGCTAGGTGACAGTCTCGCTAGTGGAGTACTCTGGAGAAGCTTGGGAGCAGGACCTGACGACTGTCCAACACTTGGTGGAGGCATGGCTCGAGGTGGAAAAGGCCCACCATGACGATGAGGCCCTCCTGTGTGTTTATGGTGATTCCCATAACCCCCAATCAGTGGTGGTGTTGCTTTATAGGATCTCATTCCCTCCCTGAAGTTATTATAATGATAAATAACATCTCCATCACTCGGAGCTATTGAGCTCGCATTGTCCAGGTCGTAATGCTCAGGCACATCAGGTTCTGTATTGTCATAAGATCGAAGAGAGCTCTGAGGAGGCAGTGGTGGATGTTCATCCCTGATCGGTGGACTCTTCGTTACCTCTCGTTCGATTATATCAGGCCTCTGGGGTCTGTGCTCATTTATCTCCCTCTCCTTATACTTCTTGGAGATGAGCTCAGGCCCCTTGTGCACCCTCAGCTCAGAAGTATCAGAGATATAAGTATTCTCGTGTCTTGACATAATGCTGTCATTGCCTGTTCCAACGAGTGAATTCCCCGTCATAATAGCGTTGGTATTCTTATTGACGACTGATGGAGCTTTCTCCTTGCTCTGACGTCGAAGCCTAAACACCACGAAGCTCACAAGAATAGCCACCAGGAGAGTGACAAAGAAAACAATCACCAGGGTTATTCCGATGCTCAGGGGATCTGCAGCTGCAGCCGCACTGATGCCAATGGGCCCTCTGCATCCTCTTGACACCTTCCCGTGGTACAGGACCTCCTTGAAGATCGAGCCAGACCCGTTGAACGGTTGGATCTCATTGTTGATAGTAAAGTTTGCTAGACATCCTTCAAAAATAATGGGAAGACCCTCTGGGAAATACAAATCACGCCTGACGCCCCCAACGAAGAATACGGTGAGGTAAGGATCCAGGAAATCATGGACTCCAGCTGAATCCAGCTCGTCTCCTGTGGGCACTCCATCGATAAGAATTCTGATGCCTCGGGAGTGACCGTCGATTGTTAAATTGTGCCACTTTCCATCGGCCAGTCCACCCTCCATTGAACCAGTCATATTGACCGATGATCCGAGCATGGATGCATAGGACAGCTGACCATTCCGAAGTTCTATCGATGTATAATGCTTGTTAGTGGCGGCATAAAGAAGAATTCCATTGGATTTCACAGTTCTAAACATGAGTCCCACTTTTTTCGGTGGTGTGACACCAAGAGGAAAGAGGGTAGTGTCTTTGGTGGCTCTTGTTACTCTACTCTTGCTCCAGAGAGTACTCCCACCGTACATGTAATCCAGTAGCTGCATTCGTTTGTGCTTCTCCGAGATCTTGAATTCAACGTAGCCACTGTCACTCAGATTGATTGGCTCCAGAGCTCCATGACAGTTCGGAGCAGTGAAAGTGTTGCATTGACAGGATACCTGGTGCCATTTGTCGTAGCAGTGCTCGCCGAGGCCGCAGATTGAGTCCTCCCTGGAGCAAAGACCGGACTCAGCCCTGGGGCAGGTGTTTCGTATGCCTCTTGATGACACTGGATTGGACAGATTTAAAGCCCTGCCATTGATTGAGACCGAGTGGACACACCCAACGAGATCGTCAGAGTGCACCTGTCCAGGTCGCTCGAGGACTGGGTCAGCGTTGACAAGGCCACCAAGAAGTAGAGGATTGTTGTTGAAATTGAGAGTTCCCGTGGGGCCCACGTCGTCTGCGTAGCACGATGAATCCCCGGGTCTGCAATCGTCGCAAATGTCACCGTGCTCTCTGCAGCTTGATACACTGAGGGAAACAACGCGGCCATTTCTCGTTGCTGTAATTTTTCTCCAGTCGCCGTCGTCCAGACGCTTCCCTGAGGAGACCTGAAGAGATGTGATGGCACTCCGAGCACCTCCGTATGAGAACGAGATCCTCCCGTTGATCAACTCCAAAACAATGAAATCAGATCGACCACCAGATTGGGGCCCATAATTATAGAGAAGAAGAGCGTCTGGCTTTGTCGTTGCAAAAACCATGGTGATGTCGTTGGTGTTGGAGTCGAGGGCAGGGAAAGACATGAAGGAGAGCTCCTCGAAGCCAAAGGTCGAGCGTTCGCAGTGCCTTCCGTATCTTCCCTCAGGGCATGAGCACTTGTATCCTGGTTTTTGGCCGACGCAGAGGCCACCGTTGAGGCAGGGATTTGGCCTGCAGGAGTCGGTGACGGCCTCGCAGTGATTTCCTCGATAACCAGCTCTGCACAAGCAGAAGAAAGAGGAGCCATCGGGGCTTACCTTGCAGGAGCCACCGTTTCTGCAGGGATTACTGGCACATGCATCACCTCTTTCGAGTTCACAGAGTCTTCCCTCGCGGTTCGATGGACACGTGCAGGCAAAATCGTAGCCTAGCCTTCGACAGCTGCCTTGGAGGCAAGGATTTGGCGAGCAGGGATCCTGTCGACGCTCGCACCTAGGCCCTGTGAAACCCTCACGGCAACGGCAAATCATCTCATGGATCACTCGGGGCGAGGTCAGGATCAGGGACTGACTGTTCGTTATTCGGGCGTCCTCGTACACCACCAGTTGATCACTGCATGCCCCACCGTTCTCGCAGGAGAGGTACTTGCATGGGGAATATCCAATTGTCACTGGAGCGCCTTCCAGCAAATCCTGCAGCTTTTTATGGTGTTTCAAAAGGAATTTAATGACCTCAGGTTTTTGTTTGAATCCTGTAAAAGAGAAAAAATCGATTTGTTTTCATTTTTTTTTCATGAATTTTTTAAAAATTTCACTTTGGAATTAAATGGTAAAATGCGATATTGAATAAAAATGTGTTCCACGGTTCTCTATTATATTTTCATGGGGAACATGAGATCTATGAGAAATTTCAGGCGATGCAAACAAGAGAGAACAATTGTTATTGATGATTTTTTAAATTCATAAAGTGCGGGCATTGAAGAGTTGCATTAAATACCCCGTTAAATAGTGAATAGGTAGTTGAAATTTTTTTATATTTCATCTATTAAGATATAAATTTACCTTGTGGCGTTTCTATGGCGAGATAAATATTCAAGTTTCCTTCGGTTTCCCCCATGCTATATATGGTCAGGGTATCGCCAGCCTCAGTTTCCTCCTGCAGGATATCGAGGAGAGGTCGATAGTGTTTTGACAGGAATTCAGAGGCTGTCAAACGAGATATCTGGAGGGTCACGCTGTTCTCCACTGTGGAATTTGAAAAGACTAGGAATTCCACGGTCACTTTGGAGACGACATCGGGGTGTCGACCGTCGTTTCCAGATACACTCAGGGAGTATCCAAGGCCTGTATCAAATAAAAAATGCATAATCACTTTATTGCGATAAATTGAAAGCCATCCAATCCCTCTGTCCAAATTCCCCAGAAAAAAAAAGAGATGAAAAGACCTCTGATTACGGTTCCCTATTTTTTTTTTCCTGTCGATAAATTATTTGGAAAAATGATTATTGCAAGGGGGAAGATAATTTCTCATCGAATTCTACCGCGAACAATCCCCTCCCGCTCCGCATTCGTAGAATTCCCGGAAAGATAATTATCGTAATGGACTAAAAATTCTTCTCTACATTTCTCTTTTTCCTTAACATCTTCATCCCTCTTCCTCTCCAGTTTCCATTCAAAATCCAGATTATTGACGACCACTCAACACCTGTATTCAGCAAGAAACGAACAGTTAGTTTATTACAACGATTCTTAGAATTCTACTCGAGTTCCCCAAGAAAAATAAATTAAACGAAAAAAATCCCCGCTATTTCCCTCCCAAATATTCCTAAAAAAAAACATTCACCGTTATCTCACCCCGAGTCCATTAATGCGATCACTCAACAGAAAGAACGGATTAAAGAACATTGAAAACTAGAGATGAAAAATTTTTCCCTTCAATAAAATCCCCCAATAAATAATTATCGCAATGGGCGAAAAATTTTTCTCATCGTCTTGGCTGAATTTCTTTGCATCTCTTTTTTTCATTTACATCTTTATCTCCCTTTTTTCCTCTTTTTTTTTTATTTGAAACCCATGAATTATTCAGACGCAGTTGTCTGCAGGAGCAAGAGAGAGCGAGGGAGAGAGGGAGAGAAAAAAGAGAGAGAGAGAGATTAACCGAGGCAACACACTAATTTATGAACTTTCGAGTTTGGGGGCTATCCCTCCCTCTCCACCCTCTCCTCACCCAACCCATCCACCCCACCACTGATACTCATTCCTCCTCTTTTACGTACCGGGGGTAATTTTACTGGTATGTAAATCGCAACCGATCGGTATACCAAGTACACCGGGATTCGAGCCCTGGAGTATTTTGCATGTGTAGTCGCCGGTGGTATCAGGATCGTTTGGATGGACATCAGCTATTTTTCCCATGGGTCTCTCACCGTTCAATGAGTACACAATAATGTGCACTGAGCGTGGCATTGATGGACTGTCATTTTCGTCTATTATAATTACAGTCACAGTGTGCTCACTCCTCATCTTTGGTATTCCAGAGTCCTCCACCTCGATCTGCCAACAATTATGGTGTGGTTTTTTTTTTATTTCACCCGAATATGGCATGGGATAAACAAAACAAATTGAATGATGAAATTGTTGGTAGTTATGTAACAGGTAAAGGGTAATATTAATTATCCGTTTTCTGGGAGTCATCAAAAAAGCTTTGTAATAACTCCTAATAAAACTACTCGTAATTAAAGTAATTGCACATTGGAAGAACCGTTCTCTGGTGCAGGAGTCCATCGTAATAATTTGAATTTTATGTCTGTGAATTATGCGTTCAACTCGGAAAGAAGTTATTTCGAAGAAAACATCTAGGACCGGTTTCTAGCTGAGAAAATTCCCAACGAAAGTAGATCTTCGATATTTCAGTTTAAAATTACTCTCCATTAAAGTTGCTGCATATTTAGAAGATCTAGTCAATAGCTGAGTTGTATCTGTTGTAAATAGAAATAGAAACGTAACAAGTGCTTTCTGATATTTTCCCGTAAAACCTCTCATTACTGAAGTAATAACATGAAGATATCATTTCCCAGGAGAATGTCATTTTTTAATAAAAAATCATTCCGTAAAAACACAGTGAAACATTTTTCGTCATTAAAATTAATTAAAAAGAATACAATCGAAATAAATAATTTCCTCAATTGTCAAAATAAATATTTATCAAATGCATTCATGGTGGTTCGTTCTGATCTGCTAAACTCTGTCCCAAAAAAGTAAAAAAAAATTAAATCCACTCACCAAAAGATCCAACTGTGGCATAACTTCCCGGTCGAGGCTCCTGGTGGTCCTGAGAACCCCAGAGTGTTTATCCAAGGTAACAGCATCAGCCTGTCGTCCCCCAATCAATCGATACGTGAATGGAGCACCATTGGGTGGTAAATCGGGATCAGCAGCAGTGAGTGTCATGATGCTGGTGCCAGCAGGTTCATTTTCCTTGACATACCCGAGGATCTCCGGAGGGTCAAACGTGGGACCATTATCATTAACATCCAACAGCTCAATCCTCACAGTAGCTGTACCAGTCTGAGGTGGAGAGCCCGTGTCAATAGCCCCAATAATCAATTGATACGATGAAATAGTTTCCCTGTCCAACATCTTTGCAGTCTCAATATCTCCACTCTGAGGATCAACCTTGAAGGTCTGTCCCACATTACCCCCGATGATTGAATAAGAGAACTGATTATTCTGGGGTCTCACGTCTTTATCAACAGCCCTGACTGTGAGAACTCTGCTCCCCAGAGCAGCACCCTCAGGAATCGATGTCTCGTAGTTAACCTGCAGGAATTCTGGCGGATCATTGCCATCCTGAATGGAGATAATGACCTGCGCCTCGTCAGTGTCATTACCCCTGATCCCTCCTCGGTTCTTCGCCATCACCGTGAGGATGGCTCTGTTCTGTGTCTCCCGGTCTAGCCTCCTCGACACAGAAATAATCCCCGTCTCAGGGCCGATGGAGAAACCTCGATCATTGGAGGAACCTACAAACAGATAATAAACCTTGCCGTCCTCTCCCGAGTCCTGATCTGTCGCCTGAACAAGACCCACTGAAGTCCCAACTTCTGCACTCTCAGACACATCGAGGTGGAAGACAGGTTGAATGAATTTTGGATAGTACTCGTTTACCCCTGTGATGTGCACCAGAACTGTTGTAACTCCCACCATCTGAGGATTTGAATCAGGATTAGCAGCTACGATATCCAGTGAGTACTCGTTAGCTTCTTCATAATCAAATGTCATTCTCGAGGTGATGATGCCGGTGTTCGGTTGGATGTGGAAGTGATCCTTGCCAGTTCCACCGAGTATTCTGTACTGCATTATGGCGTATTTCGGAGAGTCTATGTCTTTCGCCACGACTTTGTAGACAAAGCTGTTGGGCTTTGAGTTCTCCAGAAGATATGCCTCGTAAACGTTTTGATCGAATGTCGGTGGATTGTCGTTTATGTCCGAGACATTGACTGTCAGAGTAGCCACTGCTGTCTTGGGCTCGAATCCCAGATCAGTGGCACTAATATTGAGACGGTACTCCTGAATTGTGTCGTAATCCAGGGGTTCCAGAATGGTGACAGCTCCAGTGATGGGGTGAACCGAGAATTCTTTTCGATCGCTGTTAGATGATAATTTGTACCGTATCATGCCGTTTGGACCCTCGTCTCTGTCAACAGCATTGACAGTCAGGATTGTGGTGTTTACGGATTCATTTTCGGGGACACGAACTTGATAGGATACTGCAGCAAAGGCTGGGGCGTGTCGATTTTCCCCAGTGATGACAAGAACGAGGGGAACCTGGTCCTTCTGTGGGGGAACACCTTTGTCGACAGCTGTGGCTTTTGCTGAGAAAATGGAACCCACTGGGATACCACTGATGCTCTTGGCGATAAAGACCCAACCGGTTGATGGCTCCACCGAGAAATATTCTGTGGCATTTCCGGAGGTCAAACTGTACTCCACCTCTGCGTTGACACCGAAGTCCGAGTCGTCTCTAGCAGAGAGCTTGACGATCTTCTTTCCGGTGGTGAGACCCTCGGGAACTGGTGACAAATACGAAGACTGGTCGAATCTCGGGGCGTTGTTGTTGGCGTCAACGATGCTGATGAATACGGTCGTTCTTGAGGACAAAGGTGGCCTCCCATTGTCAGTGGCAACGATCGTCAAGGGGTAGAGATTTTCAGGGGATGACGGTCTGTTTGTGTGTTTATACTGAATCGTCTTCTTGCTGTAGATATCTCCTGTGGCAGGATCCACCGAGAACAAGTCTGAGGGTTGAAGAAGACTGTAAGAGATGACTGAATTCGGCCCCTGCTTGTCCAAATCTGTGGCTGTCACCTGTCCAACGTGAGCCTTTCTCGTCTGCATTTCTGGGAAGTGGAAGTGATATGATTCTTCAGAGAACTCAGGGGCGTTATCGTTCTGATCCTGAATAGTGATGGTGAGAGTGGTCTGTGCACCCCAGGCTCCATCGACCACTCTGATCTTCAAGAAGTACTCATCTTGCTCCTCCCTGTCCAGGTGACCCACCACTTCCACGTCGCCAGTCACAGGGTCAATGGAAAATTTTCCACCGGGATTGTCAGTGAAGAGGTACGTCACATTGGCGTTCTCACCCACGTCCTGATCACTGCTGGTTATCTTAATCACGAAGGATCCCACTTCGGCGTTCTCTGTGACGTTGACACTGAAGAGTCGGGTGAACCTCGGAGGATTGTCGTTCTTGTCGAGGACTGTGAGCAATACAGTTGCCGTTCCTGATAAAGTTGGCTCACCTTGATCTCTGGCTTCGACGATTAGCTCGTAGGAACTTATGTCCTCCCTGTCGAGTTTGAGATTCGTGTGGATTTCACCAGAGTTCTCATCGATGATGAAAGACTCGTCGAAGTCGTTAACCAGGTGATACGTTATCTGACCATTCTCCCCGGAATCCGCGTCCTTGGCGGAGACCTTTGTCACATAAAGGGGTGGGTACTCCTCTTCCATGACTGTTGCGTTGTAAATAGCTGCTTCTGGCACTGGTGCATTGTCATTGGCATCGGTTACATTAATCAGAAGTTGAACAACACTTCGGAGAGGGGGATTGTCCGAGTCCCTGACCTCCACCCAGGCCTCATAGTAAGGCTCTGTCTCGAAATCGAAACCAGAGGCAACGAGAACCTCTCCGGAATGGGGCTCGATCCTCAGGGCATCACCGATGTTGCCCCCAGCCATTCCAAAGACAAGATTGCTTGCAGCTCCCACTTTCGGTGTTGAGGCGCTCAAAGTGGTGATTGTCCTGCCCTCGGGAATGTCCTCGGGGAGGATAAACTTGGTGCTGATGGTGGATCTGAAGCTAGGGAAGAGCTGGCGCTCCCACAGGTGGATCACCAGATCTGCCATGACCGTTTGGGGAGATATTCCAGAGTCTGACGCCTTCACCTGGAGCTGGTAGGTTGTCTTGCCGTTGGAGAGGTCCTGCGCTGCTCTGATTACTCCGTTAGAGGGATCTATGACGAATCGCTTCGCGTCCTCTCCTTGCAAGTGATAAACGATTCGGGAATTTTCACCTTCGTCACCGTCCACGGCTTTCGCACCGAAGACAAAGTCCCCGGGTTCTGTTGAATCGGGAACGTACGCGGTGTACCGAGGACTCGAGAATCGTGGGGCATTGTCGTTGAGGTCTTTTACGAAAATCGTGAGGTTCACTGCTGTCGCACCAGGTTGTGTTGGACTTGAATCTTGGGCGATTAAAGTCAGGTGGTAGATTGGTGTTTGTTCGCGGTCCAGGGGAACCACTGTTAGGATTTCTCCGGTATCTGGATCCACCGAGAAACGATCAGCGTTCTCACCAAGGAGGCTGTATCTATTCCGGGAAATTAATTGGCCCATGAATTTTATTTTTAAAACGGTTGGTTTTGGAAAATTTCGGACACGCACGGATGATCGATTTTTTGTTCCGATTTTTATGGGGCTTTTTTAGGAATCGAAGGGTTCTTCATCTACATAGTTAATGAACTGCTGATTCAAATTGGAGTTTTTGCTGCTGAATGGGAGGGTTTGAACACTTCAGGGATTATTTTCCCGTTTTGTAATTATTCAATGATTCGCGAGGTCCCATTATCACGCCACAATTTTGCAAGTTTCTATTTGAACCGTTTGGAGAACAGTTAATAATAGTTAATAATAGTTAATAATAGTTAATAATAATAACTATGAGGGTTGATGAGTCAACGCATTGGTAAAAATGTGGGAGAAAAAGCTGACAAATGATGGCATGCCCGGAACACATGATTCGCTGGAGAACATGATGCATATTGTATGTTTTGGTGTTAATTTTTCAAATAAGTAAATGTGACGAGTTACAATGCACAAATTTGTCCGTACAATTATTCACCATGTCTTCTGGTGGATAGCAGATATTATTAATGCTGGAGTAGTGTAATATGCAGGTATCGTCCTTGAAATATTAACATTGTCAGAGATGCGTGTAGCTCACCTAATTTTTGCATTCAATCCATCATCCTTATCAGTAGCAGTGGGTTTAGCTACCCAAGTACCAGCAGGCTGATTCTCAATGACATCGGCCCTGTAATCGGTGCGTGAAAATTCAGGACTGTGGTCATTGACATCCAGGACAACAACTCTGAGGACACCCGAGCCGGTCAGAGGGGGTGAGCCTGCAACAAGATAAGGGAGAATTAATTCTTTTGCTCGTTTAACTTTATTTATATGTCTCTGTGTTTGGTTGATTTTTATTTTGACCCGATGTGCCTCACGGGTGCCTCGAGGGCAACGGTGTGAGGATAAGAATGGGGGTGTCGAGGCACGTAGTGATCATACGTCATTCCAAGGAGGGGATTCAAGGACGCACAAAGGATCCTCTTGCAACATGCTCCAACGTGTATGTGTTTTGCAACGTCTTTTGTACCTATGTACTGAGTATGACAAATTCGCGGACGATTAATCTCACCACGACCACAGGCGGATATGTATAAACTTTCATTCAGCTCACCCAATATTTATATTTATTTATATGTTTTCACTCGCAGGTTGATAATCACCCGAGCAATGGGATAACCAGGAAATTCTTAATATTTTGTAATATTTACTAATATTTATTTATTTTTTATGGAATTCTAATCGCGAAATTACAACCCAGGATGAGTGTATTTTTTTTTCGCGCCGGTTTTTAGCTGATATCTCGGAATTGACGAGAGGTAGTGATATTTGCATAGATACCTTTCTTCTAGCTCTCGTCATTCTCTTCAAAAATGTTTTTATAGAAAAAATCGATATGTTCCTTCAATTTCGAGATATTGACTAAAAACTGACGTTGAAAAAAAAGCGATTATCCCAGTGTACCATTTCTCCACTGAATAAATTTATAAAATATTTAATAAAAATAGGAACGTTGTGAAAATTTCGAAATCAATAAAATATATAATTCGATAAAAAATAAACCAATAAAAATAACATATAATCTAATAATGCAATTGTTATTCCCTGAAATAAAAGGCGAATGGCATCCGGAAAAATTGAGAATTTCGCATAAATAGCGCCCACTTGTTTTCAATTTATATTGAGCATTTATTTATATATCGCTTTGTTTGATTAAATATGATTTATTCCCCATGAGAACTTTGTGATGCACAATGCCGACGTGATACCCTCAGTCTGAAATGGAGGGGAAAGGAGTGGAGAGGAGAGACCAGGCGGGAGTCGTAACAATACTATAAATCATAATATTCAAATTAACAAAGGTTCAATAAATTAAAACTCCGGTCATGGGGCCCAGGACGTTGTACGTTTATATGAAAAAAAAAAAAAATGGCGCGAGGGGGAAGGGGGTAAGGAGAATGAGCCGTTGCCTTTGAGGGGCTACTCTCTTTACTCTGGCTCACGTCAAGAAATCCTCTCTTTTCCTTTCTTTCTTGCCCTCAAGGGCCAACCCCCTCACCTCTCCACCGAAAAATCAAGCCGCCATTATGGATCGCTCTCTCCTCCGAGCGATTTTGAGGAGGCATCAAAGTCGCCGTAATCGTCGAATAAAATCATACATCAAAAGAAATTAAAACAAGATAAAAGAGAGAAAATTTAAAACACGAGGAGGGATTTTTTTTTATTTTGTTATTATTCATATTTTAGGTTTGAAATTCGGGAGAGGAAAGCGGAATTGGTGGGAATGTTTAATGATAAAAATTATGGACTTCTGAGAGCTGAATTTTGGTGTAGATAAATTAAATAGTAGTGAGAGGATTTTTTGATTTTTTTCGTAATGGCTTTTGTTGTTAATTTATGGATATTTATGGATATATCTAGATGGTACTGGAGATTCTCTATTTGTGTATGATTTTTTCGTTTCTCAGGATTATCTCCTTATCAGTAATATTTCCTTGGAATGATTGCTGTAATAGACGAGCAAATTGAAAAACTTACAATAATTTTAAAAAAACGATAAAAAAAAATCTTCAAAAAATTCCAGCGCAGAAATGAATCGTCCAAAATTCCGAAAATTACTAGGGAGAATATTTTCCCCAGTGAATCCACATTACCATCGCATAAATCCAATAAAGTATCACAACGTTTTGAACCAAAAAATCCCATGGAACTCTAGAAATTATTAAAAAAGTCACCGTATAAAAATACAACTGACATTGACGGAATGAACATGCAAAAAGTCTCCCGAAAAATCCGGTAAAAATTTCCCACCAGAATTTATAAATCCACGTGAACATAAATTCCCAAACAACGAAGTGAAATATTCCCTCAATCGAGCGATAAAAAACGATAATAAGGCATTCGGGCGGATGTTGACCGCCATGAAAAAAAAACCCTGATTTGGATAACGAAAAAGGTGAAAAAAAAAACAATCACCGGTGAATCTCCGCACATTTATCGACGAAAACACTTGTTCCCCGGTGTATACGATCGCATAAACAAGCGTGGGATTATTTATAAAAACAATTTACACGTTATTTGACTCAGCCGGAAAGATATATGAACTGAAAAAAAGACGTTTAAAAAATCAGTTATTTTGATATTTTCCACGATTTTTTTTTATTCACCAGTCAAAACCTCCCTCAAATGATTTACCGACGTGGCATTATTGCTCCATGGCATGAACGTACACATACGCAGGTGCTACGGCGCCCCGATGCGGTCCAATGTGTCGTAACAAGCGCTGAGATTTATGGCAATTTCGTGGATAAATAAAAGATCCAAGTCCGCAACGATTTTTTCCCCCCACGACTTATCAGAACCGCGAGAAAAAAAAAAAGAAATATTGATAATAATAATTCAAACGTCACTCCAACTCGTGGTCTCGTTACTTTCATTTTTTCCAAAATAAATAATGAATTGATATTTGACTGAAAAATGCCCTGAAATGAGCGTTAATTCTTTCGATCTGGGTGTTGTACCGCGTGACGAGCGAAAAACGAGATGATTATTTTCGCAAAATAACGAGTTGGAACTTGCCGAGTAAATTAAAGGTGGCAAATCTGCACATGTGTGTGGTTAATACACGGGTAAGTGCTCGTGAGAGTTCTTCATGCATTGACTCTTTGAATTATCGAGTGTCTCAGTGAATCCTTTTCCTGTCTTGCTCGCATTTCCATCTAGAGGAAATTCACAATCTCATTAGTCCCCTATTTTCGCGGATTTTTAATTCACTAATTGAATGCATTTACCTCCTGCCAGTGAACACGTATAAATTCTTTCACTGCACATGCTCATAGTAATTTTTTTTTTTTGAGTTAACAATTTATGAAAATGTCATAAAGTCATGATCATAAAGTCATGTGATTTTTTAATTATCCAAGTTTCAATTTAATTTCAATTAAAATCGGTTAAAAATATATTTCTCTTTCATGAAAAATGCATCTTGAAAATTCCGGAAAATTGGGTTGTGATATTAAATAATAATTGATTTTAAATAAATTAAAATGCTGTAATTTTTGCCTGAATTCAACAATTGCGATAAATTCAATATACCATAAATACTAGAAATTGAATGATTCATCACCGAAAAATAATAAAAAAATTCCAAAGTCCCAACTAAAATTTCAAGTATATTTTTTTCGTAAACGCACTGAAAAAAAAAAATGATTTTTGCCAAGAATATTTTCTTCCCACAAGTAAATCTGGCGATCACTGTATAAATACTCCCATAAGACTTACTAATGCCAAATATATTTTCTTGTGGTTATTAAATATTCTTGACTAAAGAAAATTTTTTTCTCAGTGTATCTGAGTGTAATTTTTTTTTCCCCCGAAGTTGAAGAAATGAAAATATCAGACGTAAACGATGATTTCCCGAGGAGTTCCTCTCCCACGTGCAATCAGCGAGCAACAAGCAATTACCCATGACAACGATGTTTTTTTTTCATACAAAAATTGAAACAAAACGAGATAAAAATAATCGTGGAAATAGTTTGGAGTGATTAGTCGCCTATTCTCGCAATCAACTGGCACTGGCAAACGCATTAATAACCATTTATTAACTCGTGAGTTGACACTCGGAGTACAAACCCGACCTCGGCGCCACGGGAGGTTTACCCATTCACCCGCCCATACGCCTTCTAACGGTTCTGAATCACCAATCACTCCAAACTCTTTTTTTTTGCATTCTAATCTCAAACACTGCAATAATTGTAAATTTCAATCTAGCAAACTGTCACACGATATTCGACTCTCCCAGATAATACCTCCCGCTCCCACCCCATACTGAGAGGAACATTTCCAAATATATTTATTGTGAACTCAGTGAATTTATGCAAATATTAATTAATTAATTAATTTCAATGTAAATATTATGGATATATACTTTCACATGTACACCCTCTCAGGTTTTTATATTTTGCTACCTTCCCTATTTGATACAGATTATTTAAACAATTTGATATAAAGCGCGAAATAAAAATTATTGTAATTATTATTGTAATTATTGGAATCTTATGACATCGTAACAGAAATAAAAATAAAAAACAAAAAATCATACGACTCGTTTGTCATTTAATGTAAATATCAATTGATTAATTAATTTTAAGGGAAATATTGATTGATTGTTTATTATTTTTAATTAATATCATTAATTCAAGAGATTAATAATATTAATTAATTAATATTTGTATTAAATATATTTGAGAAAAGGGATTATCAAATTATCAAATTTTGTCAATTCCTCTGATTTATTGGAGGGAAAAATATATAGGTCATTTAATTCGTCCCTTATTTTTCGGAGGTTTTTTTCAGAAGATTAAATTTTTCAACAACTTGTCATGGAATTTTACCCAAGTGGATGTCCTGTCAAAGCGAGAATGAAATAATGACTTTAAGCTACAATTACGTAAATTTCGATAATCGTTTTTAAATCATTGTCTAAAAAATGATCCAGCCGACCATCGGAAGAAGTTATTAATTTCCCATCAAGATATTGAATGAATAATTGAAAATAATTGTATAGAAAAATATTAAAAAGCTGATGAAGTTATGGGAATGAGTGAAATCCTTTTGATTTATGATTTCCGTATGCGTCCTCCAGTGACAATTCAAATTGACGATTACAAAAACAAATTAACCCCTCCCCATCTTGGAGGAACATTGAGCCCCCCCATTCTGATTGCCCTCCCCCTATTTATCCCAGCCCTCTTGAATTTCATTTGGCAAATACACGTAA